CCAGCGTGCGACGCGGCCCAACACATGTGCTACCAGCCCAGTCCGCCCAAAGCCCAGCGAAAAAGAGAAGGAAAATCTCGCGGGCCGCGTCCAGCCCGCGCGGCCCGCACACTTCGCATCCTTCAGCCCGAGGAAGCCCGCGCGGAGCCCGATCCCAGCCCGCACCTGTTGCTGCTTCCAGCCCGCTTCCTCCACCTCCCTCAGCCCGCGACCGGCCCAACACCCCCAGCAGGCCCAGCGAGCGGCCCAAATGGCTCCAAACCAACCCACTACACTACCCACCACCTCTTGCCGAGCCCAAACTGGTCCAGAGGGCCCAAAGGCTGCCCACATTGATCCAACAACCCTATTTTATGCTTAAGACTAAGCCGGAATGATTCGAAGCGGACGGTAAAGTTATTCGTGACCTTTTTTTTTTTAATTATGACCTCAAAGGTTTTTTAACTCGTTGAACGCGGCAAAATTACTTGACTTATTTGAGGAGAGGATTATTTCATTCGCTCGCGTTGAATTATATGTCTTATTCGTGAAAAAAAAAAAAAAAATAAATATACTTGATGTGATCGTAATTATTCATTTTGTTCGAGGTGATATTTGACTTATGCGTGGAGTATTATTTGATTTACTCGTGGATATATTATTCGACTTATCGGTGGAGGTATTTGATTCATTCGAGAAGGTGCTATTTGATTTATTTGTGCATGATTATTTAATTTGCTCAAGTGATTATGTGATTTATTCGTGGACGTATTTGAATTTCTGTCGAGGAAACGACAAAATAATCCAAGTCTTGACAAGCTATGGCGGACGAGCTGTCGAGTGTCGAGGACAAAATGAACGAACATGGATCCATCTAAGGAGGGTGACAAGCAGGGACGAGCCTAGATGATGTCGATCACCGGTGACGATTTCAAAAGGAACGGGTAACAATCATTCTCTTTTGGAAAGGTAAGACAATTTGGAGCGGTATTCTCAACCTTCAGGTACAAAGCTATCCTCGACTCTTGTTCGATGGTCGTGTTTAATGGACAGGAGTTTATGGTCATTCTTTGTGTACTCTGGACAAACTGTTGAGGAGATTGTGATGCATATCGACATGGTTGAGATTATTATTTGGATGACTAACAAAATGATTGGGTGTTACTATATCTTGTCGTATTCGATGTTTTCCTTTTCTACCTCAGTGGCAGGTCGAAGAATTCAAGCACACGTTATCATGCACAACCAAGAAAGGGAGGTAGAAAAATACATTCAATATTTTTTATCTCATTCGACGCAGTTATACATTTGTTGATACTAACAAAAATGATCGATTACTATCATATCTTGTTTTGCTCGATGTGTTCCTATCTGACCTCAGTGGCAGGTCAAAGTACTCGAAGAAAAAAACCCACCATGACTAAGGCCTCCGGGCTGGGTGGTCACATGTAATGACCACTCCTTCGAGGGCGGGCATGTGTTCGAAGACCAAAAATCCACCATGACTAAGGCCTCCGGGCTGGGTGGTCGCTTGTTTAGAACATCCCCTGGGGTGGGCAGGTTGGTCGCCTGTTTAGAACATTCCTCGGGGTGGGCAAGTGCCTGAAGAGAAGAAAAAAAATCCACCATGACTAAGGCCTCCGGGCTGGGTGGTCGCTTGTTTCGATAGGCCCCTTCGGGGTCGGCAAGTGCCTGAAGACAAACTCCACCACAACTAAGGCCCCCGGGCTGGGTGGTCGCTTGTTTAGTACACCCCTTGGGATGGGCAGGTTGACCCCCTGTTTCGTACATCCCTCGAATTGGGTGGGCAAGTGCCTGAAGAGAAGAACAACAAAAATCCACCATGACTAAGGCCTCCGGGCTGGGTGGTCGACCCTAGTGTTGGGTCGTAAAGACATGGAGCATATCGGAGACCTCGGAGGCAGGTCGATGTTTTCCTCTTGTTATATTTGGTTTGTTATCATTGTACATTTGCTCCTAACCTAGTGGCAGGTTGAGGAAAGACAAAATCCACCATGATTAAGGCCTCCGGGCTGGGTGGTCGACCCTAGTGTTGGGTCGTAAAGACATGGAGCCTATCGGAGACCTCGGAGGCAGGTCGATGTTTTCCTCTTGTTATATTTGGTTTGTTATCATTGTACATTTACTCCTAACCCAGTGGCAGGTTGAGGAAAGACAAAATCCACCATGACTAAGGCCTCCGGGCTGGGTGGTCGATCTTAGTGTTGGGTCGTGAAGACACGGATAGCTCGAGCAGACCTCAGAGGCAGGTTGAAGATTTCTATTCGGTTCTATTTGATCTGGTATTACTGTACATTTGTTCCTAACCCAGTGGCAGGTTCAAGGAAGACAAAATCCACCATGACTGAGGCCTCCGGGCTGGGTGGTCGATCCTAGTGTTGGGTCGTGAAGACACGGATAGCTCGAGCAGGTTAACGGATTTATTTGATTTGGTTGTGTGCTATTTGGGTTTGTGACCTCAGTGGCAGGTCGATCAAACTCGCTACGGTTAGCTCGAGCAGGTTGATTGTTGATTCTGGTTTATCGAATTGATTTTTCGACCCCAGTGGCGGGTGAGGTATATTCATTTTTGCTCGAGCAGGTTGATTGCGTTTTATTTGATTATGATCCCGTCGAATTGATTTTTCGACTCAAGTGGTGGGTCGAGTATATTCATTTTAGCTCGAGCAGGTTGATTGTTGATTCTGGTCTATCGAATTGATTTTTCGACCCCAGTGGCGGGTGAGGTATATTCATTTTTGCTTGAGCAGGTTGTTTGTTGATTTTGGTTGGTCGAATTGATTTTTCGACTTCAGTGGCGGGTCGAGTACATTCACTATGGTTTGAGCAGGTTGGTGGTTGAATTAAGTTTTCAAAGGAATATACAACATGCTTGAATTTTAAATTTTGAACTGAGGGGCGATAGGACGAGGGGGTATAAGAGAGCTCGAACATGGTGATTGAAACACAACAAACGTAAATTCAAATTTTCAAATTCAAGATTTTAGGGAGTGGTCATGCAGCTTTTGACCTTTTGCGGTCCCGATGCTCGGTTTTCGACCTCCACGGTCTCGACTCTCGATATTCGACCTCCACGGTCTCGACTCTCGGTTTTCGACCTCTTGCGGTCTCGACTCTCAGTTTTCAACCTCCGCGGTCTCGACTCTCGGTTTTCGACCTCCACGGTCTCGACTCTCGATATTCGACCTCCACGGTCTCGACTCTCGATTTTCGACCTCTTGCGGTCTCGACTCTCGGTTTCCGACCTCCGCGATCTCGACTCTCGGTTTTCGACCTCTTGCGGTCTCGACTCTCGGTTTTCGACCTCTTACGGTCTCGACTCTCGATATTCGACCTCCACG